GTCTGCATATTTTAGCAACCACTCTGTTGGGACGTCCTCCTAGATGTCTGACTTAAATCCCTTCTGCTGCACCAAGCCCCAGCTGCCTCCTGTTTTTCAGGGAGGGCAGTGAGAAGGGTGACTTCAGGGAATTCGAGAAGTGGGTCACGTCATTGGGGACCTGGCCTTTCCCAGGGAGCGGGCAGCTGAACAATGGGAGATAAATGTGTTGAAAACATCCGTTACTAAATATATCGACTTCCGAGAGGACGGGGGTGCTGACAGGGAGCCTGTGGCCCCTAACCTAGAGGCCACAACCTTGTGGCTCAGACAAGCTGGGGCATTCAGAGCAGCAGACGAGGGTGTTCAGGCTGTTCCAGGGGCCGTGGGCTGGGGGCCCAGAGGGTGGGAGTCAAGCATGGAAGGGGGTGATGTCTCATCCTCCCAGACAAAGCTGCCAAGCCTAAGCTGGCTTATTTGCATATCACTTTGCATTCATTTGCATGCCACTTTCTGGAAGGGGCTCACTTTCAAGTGCTGCCTCTCCCCCATTTTCAGGGGCTCTGCTCACTGAGCATTTCATTCTCAAGCAAGGAGGAGTCCCTCAGCAGGTCGCTGGGAGAGACCAAGAAGTTGCAAATTCCCAACGATGCCTACATGTCAAAGCTGCTGGGGGTACCCTGGCTATAGAAGAAAGTGTTTGCTGTAGTCTAACTCAATTCTCATTTCTCTCCTCCTTCATCTCTGCACAGGCCCTCCCATACCCCTGCACTTCATGCTTAGGCCGCTCTGACCTCCTTCAGTGCTCACATAAGCAAAACCATGCTTGCTCTCCCCTCAAGACCTTTGCACGTGGTGTTTGCTCTTCCTGGAGCTATCAATTCTGCCTGAAGAAGTGACTCTTCCTTCTAAGGGCAGCCCCAACCACCCCTCCCCTGAAAGACCTTCCCTAGACACTGGCAGAGGTAGGGGGAACCATGGGCCTTCCTCCATGTGGCCATTGCTGTGTCCAGCGCCCTGCAGAGTTGGCCTGTTTGGATGGACAGCATCCTAGGACACACCTGCTAAATGAATGAGTGAATCCTCACCTCCCTCCCCTGTCTCTCTCAGCCCCTGCCATCCCCCTTTCCCTGGATGACTTCACTCACCTGCAGGAGGGACAGAGCTGGAGAGGGCCTCGGTCCCCTACACCCCCTCCTGTTCCAGAAGACTTCACCCTCAAGCCCACAGCCCATTCTCCCAAAGCCAGGAGATTCCACACCCCTCTGTGCTGGTAGGAAGTTCTTTCTGTTGTCTATCCTCACTCCCTTTTTTATCTATGCCTACTTCTTTATCATTATTTTTGGAGAGGGGTCAGGGACTGCCCCATCTCAGTTTTACCATCTGTAGTGGGATAAAGGCTGCTTTTCTCTCCCTACTCTCTGCCCAGGATGTGTTCATACCACTCCTGAACCATTATGCTCTGGCCTGGACCTACTTGGGAGGAAGGACAGTGACCAAGGATGGAGAAGGGACACAAAGCCAAGCAGCCAGGCCCTGGAGAGGAGCCCAGGATAGATATAACCACTCCAAGAGAAGGGCTGCTCAAGAGGGAAGGGATGAGCATCCTGTCCCACGGGGTATGTAAGCAGGGCTGGGTAGATTGTGGGCAAGTTGCAAAGAAGAATAAACCAACTATGAGAAGGCCCAGATGCTCTATATGTCCTCTCCTGCTGGGAGGCTGGACAGAGCCTAGATGCCCAGCCCTGTGCTGGGAAGCACAGGGAGAAGGCTCCTGCCTCAGAGAAACTCCTTGGTGGGTTGGGTGAGGACCACACACCCAGGGGGCATCACAGAGGAAAGCAGAGTCTGGGCTACAATCTTGATACGTACTGTCGGGGAGACTGCAGGGTGGGTCATGGGGTCAGAGGGAGGGAGAACCAAGGAGGGCTTTCTAGGGGAGCCTTCCTATTCAAAAGCTTTTCCTTAGCAACTTGGTCCTATGAAAAGAAGTCCAAGCCCCTTAGCCTGGCATCTGAGACTACTGAATCTGGCCCCTCCTGTCTTCTCTTCTTCTCCACTCCCTTCTTGCTCCCACCAACCCAAACTCTTTCTGTCCCTTGGTCACATAGCAAGTTCTCACACTGACCCACCTTTACATGCTGTTCCCTCTGCTCTTCCCCACATGGGCCATTCCTATCCATCCTTCAACACACAGCTCAAGTGTCTCCTCTTCTGAAGCCCTGGCTTGGGGGGTTGGGCCCCACAGTTCTTGGGGCTCCCTCTGCACAGCACCGTTCACACCACAAGGCTGTAGGTTTCCAGTCTTGCCTCCCTCATCAGACCAGGAGTCCCTGAGAGCAGGGTCTGGGGCTGTGTCCATTCTGTGTCCCTAGTGACCAGCCCAGTGGGCAGCAAGCAGGCATCGGACAGTTGCTGTTGAGGGAATAAATGAATGGGTAAACACAACAACGCCAGAATGGGAGAATGCCGAGTGGGTAGGTTGTATAGGCCCAAGCCCGGGGAGTGTAGGCCTGACTTGACAGCAGCCTGGCTCAGGGTGAGACTCCCAGGCCATTAAGACAGAAGGCGGGTACTGCTGGGAGCTCTGCCTCCCCTACTTGGCTAGATCCCAGCCAAGCCATCAGCAGTCCCTGGGGACGGGAGGCTAGAGTGGGAAGCAGCAAGAGTGGCAGGAGCTGCTTGGTGGGCAGGGGCAACTGGGGGGTGCAGGGAACATAAAGGCGATTAACTCTCACTGAGCTGAACCAGCTCAGGCAACCAACAGGTCCCCTACAGAGCCTGAGGAAGGAGACCGAGGTTCGCGTCTGCTGAGGAGCTTCAGCCCTGGCCTTGCAGCCAGAGGAGGTGGACAAATCCACAGCCTCAGTTCCCCTGTCTGGGAAGAGGCAACTCCATGATTTCCAACCCTTGGCACCCTGACTAGAAACCCGCTGGGGATCTCTCCTGTTCCCTTGTTGGCCTGAGCTTTCCAGGGGCTTTTCCCTCCAAAACCCTGACCCTCTGAGGTCCTGGCACCACTCCTCCCACCTGAGCCCAAGCCCAAACCCAAGCCTCCTTGACATTTCCCTTCCCACCTTCTTTCCCAGGCCCTCCAACTTCTCCCTTCGGAAAGGCCATGGTCACCTGCCCCTTGGTCCACCTGGTCCCAGACCTCCTAGATGCCCACACCTGCCTAGCCTCCCTGGTCTCCCTGCCCCTTCACTCTCTTCCAGTTCCACTGTGACAGTGCCACTGAGGCAGCTTTCTCAACCCCAAACCTGATTCTGTCCCTCCACCACACGGAGCCTTGTCGGGCTCCCCAGGACCCTCAGGGTAAAGCCCAAGAGGTCTGGAGTTCCCAGTCCTACAGGATGAGGCTGCTGCCTCCCCCTTTAGCCTCCTCACAGCTCCAGGCACATGGCCCGTTCCCCGCCCAGGGCCTTTGCTTATGGCGCTCCCACTCCACCCCCACCTGTTAGCTTGATCCTGATCTTTATGCTTAATTATTCTCAAGCTATTTTATGTCTAGGAAGCTTAGGAGGCCCCAGAGGGCAGAACCATTATTGCCTGTTTCTTTCCTGCCTCTCCCCTCAGGGTATAGTATGAATTGTCCTGGGCTCACAGGGGTGGTCACACATTCAGCCACCCCCGCCCTGCCTCAGTGGGCCAAAGTGTTCCAGCTGTGTCTTCAACCACCAGGGGAAGGCAACAGCCACCCACGCCCAGGGGGATGAACACACACACACACACACACGGACACCAGCCACACAAGCACCAATATCCACTCACACACACCAGCATCATGCTCACACACCCACACTCGAACACTCAGGTTAACAGACATCCACGTCTACACACACACACACACACACACACACACACACACAGCGCAATGCTAGTATTCACGTGTGGGCAAATAAGCACACACACATGAACGTACTGGAATCAAACAATGCACTCGGTATGGGGGTCACTCTGCACATCTTAACATGCCTGCGAACACACCAACTCTCACATACACACACCTGTGCTGACACGCAGCGCAACCTGCACCCACACGTGTACAGATGAACTCGGTCACACCGCATGGCTCACGCATCCGGACAGGTTGCTGCCCATCCCACCATCCAGGACTCCACAGGCCCCTCCGCACCCCACGTGTCCCCTTGCCCCTCACAGACGTATTCACACACATACCTTCATGTGCAGGCAGAGGCCTGCCCCCCTGAGGACTTGGGGAACACATGTCACTTGTCACCCACCTTGGCAGCCCTCAGATGGTGGAGGGCCACCTCCACAGAACCACCCCCCCCCCCGCACAACTAAACCCGCCCCCCCCCCCCCCCCCCCCCCGCCAGCATGTGGAGGACCACGAAGCTGGTGCACGAGGCCTCATTCAACTAGCCCCATGGCTCTCTCCAGGATGGATGTTTTGGGGGTAAAGTTGCCTAAACTGGTGGCTGTGAATCCCAATCCCATGAAAGGCAGTTGCCCCAGACCCTGTTCTGTGCCAGCGCCACTTATTCATATTCATGTTTGTTTTCTCCCTCCCTCATTCTCTCTCTCTCTCTCTCTCACACACACACACACACACACACACACACACACACACACACACACACACACACGCGCTCCTAGACATCTCCTCCTTCTCCAGGGTCCCGAATCAGTTTAATCTCGGCCCCCCCCCCCCCGCCCCTGTCCCCGCCCCAGAGCTCCTTGGAACTCCCTGCAGACCTCCCCCACCCCCAGCCCCTGGAAGGATAATTCAGGTTCATTACTAACCCCTCCCCCAGCCCCTTCTATGGGACCCCAGCCCCATCGCCTCCTAGGTTGATGCCAGACACCCCCAGCCCTGTGCAGAGGCCCCCCAGGTTATAGTCCAGCAACCAGGCTCCCAGGAGCAGGGTTGATCCCCGATCCTTCCACGTGGCTCAGCCCCACGCCAACCCCAGCTCTTCACAGGCACTCCCAGGACCCTTGTCCCTGGTGCGTCTTGCAGCCGCTCACCCAAACCCCAGCCCCTCGATAGTACTCACGGCTCAGCCGGTCGCGCTGCCGGGTACTGCTGGCTCCTGCAGAGGATGGAGTGGCCGCATGCCTGCCCCATCGCTCCTCATCGTCTGCCTCCCCAGCCAGACTAAGGTGGCACCTCGCCCTGTCCACCCTGCCCGGGGTGCCAGGCAAGGTGCCTGGCCCAGTAGGCACGGGGACCAAGAGCGGTAGCCTGTCCCCAACTCAGCCTGGACTTGATACCCCGACCCAGTGCTGCTGCTGCCCCAGTTGCTCCCACCTCTCCTGCTGCCACTGCCTCTGCCGCTAGGCTGGCTCTGGGAGGAGGTTGGAGCAGGTCTGATAATGCAGAAGGGGGAGGGAGGAGGGAGGAGGAAGAGAGAGGCCCAGACAGAGAGGCAGAGAGGGAGGGAGGAGTAGAGAGAGACTCTGGCTGGGAGAGGAAAAGAAAGATTCACACACAGAAGAACAGAGACAGAAACAGACAGGAAGGAAATGCGTGAAGGAGAGAAGAGCAGGATCAGAGCCTCAAAGAGATCAAGACGGAAATATAAAGAGATCAGAGAGGCATAGGGAAAACACATACAGATGAACAAAGATAGAAAAGAAAAAAAAAGTAAAGATGGGAGACAGCGAAAGAGAAGCAGAGAGAGGAGCTTAGAGAGGTAGGAGGATGAAGGATTTGCACTGTGCATGGACTAAAATGGGAGCTAGGGGTGAGGGACAGATGAGTGGGACCCAGACCCTGCACTACCCCATTCTGGAGGCCCTCAGGGTCAGGGGACACTTCTGAGCCCTCCTCAAGTATGGAAGGGCCCCGCTCCAGGCAAAACCAGCTCCTCTGGGCTCCCTTACTGAGTCTGTATCATGGTCCTGGGGTGTGTCCCCAGCATGGAGCTGGGTACACAGGGGGTTCTGGGGACTTTTGCTAAGGTCGTTTGGACTCAAAGCCTTGTCACAGAGTCCACTTTTGGTGGCTCTGCTTAGTCAGAACACTGTGGGACCTGATGCTGAAGCATGCACTTTTATTTTTTTAGACTTTATTTTTAAGTAATCTCTACAGCCAATATGGAGCTTGAACTCACCTCCACTAACTTCTTCATTCATTCACAAACACCTATCATTGGCCAACTTCATTAAATAGGACTCAGACTGTTCCTTGCCTTGGAGAAGCACCAAGTCAAGGTGTGTGTGTTGGGGGGGTGGTTATGACTGGTAGTGTGACAGAAGCACAGTGTCTGTCATGCCCAAAGAGGACCCTAGACTCAGTCTAGGATTTGTGAACATCTCTGTAAGAGAGGATACCAGGTCGGTCTTTAAAGGACCCCAGGAGAAGGGGGTGTACTCACCAGTAACCTCACTTCTCTGACCAGTGGGGGCAATACCCCTGGCCCCACACGCCAGGATCCAGGCTGCAAAGCCCATGAGACTGAGTGAAAACCTAGCCCCTGTTAATGGGCACGGGGGGAGGGCACACAACAGTGGTGGGATGGACAGGAATGACCTGGCTTGTGCATGAGGCCTGTCCAGGCTGACAGAAAGGTGGTCTTCTCATGGCTGAGCAAGTGTCAGGAAAGAAAATGGGAGGGAGCTTTTGCTTCCCACTGTGGTCCCCGAAGGTAAAATTTCAGACCTCTGAAAGCTCTGGCCGAACTGTTTTCTCAGCCTGACCTATACCTGGGACCTCGCTGCCCCATGCCTTCCAGCTGGGAAGGCATTTTTCAGGCCCAAAAAGTCTAGGCCCTGGCCCATGTCCAGACTCAGCCTCTCACAGTTCCCCTTCACGGCCCGAGGAGCCCGGCAGTCAGCAGCTGAGTCAGAGGGGTTCAAAGCAGGGCACCTCCCGGGCACAGGGGAAGCAGGTGCACTGAGGCCTCACCTACTACCGGGCCTCCTCTCTGCCCTCCCACTCTGGAAACGGCAGTGGAGGCCTCATCTTCAGAAATTTCCTGGGAATATACTCAAGCAAGTCAGGGAGGAGGGAAGGTCTCCCCCCATCCCACTGCCACACCAGACTCCGCAGCTGCCCCAGAAGTAAGGAGTCTGCAGAAACGAAGCTCAAGAGCCAGAACTCCTGGGTCCTAGGGTACTCCCGGGTTAGAGGTAGGCAGGCGGAAGTTCAGATCCCTGCTCTGCCACGTGCCCTGGGCAACTTATTTAACCTCTCTGAACTTTTTTTTTTTTTTTTTTTATAAACATATATTTTTATCCCCAGGGGTACAGGTCTGTGAATCGCCAGGTTTACACACTTCACAGCACTCACCATAGCACATACCCTCCCCAATGTCCATAATCCCACCCCCTCCTCCCAACCTCTCTGAACTTCTATTTAGTTTTCTCATCTGAAAGGAGAGGTCACAATTTCCAAGCTCAAAGAACTGTGAGGCTTTGGAAATGTCTGCCAAGTTCCCAGTGGAGAACCTTCTTCCTCCCCTCCCGTTCCCTTAAGAGGTTGAGTTGATCAGGCTGTGAGAGTAATGGCCTTAAATGTGGGGCAGGGGCTGCTGTAGGGCAGTGCCGGGATGGGGGGAGGCCTCTGAAAGGGGAGAGGGCCCGAGGTTTCCGGCCTGCTCTCGGCTCCTCTGGCTGCTTGCGGCCTGGGAGGCGGGTCCAGCCGGAACCCTAGGCCCGGAGCGCTCACGGCGAAGCCCCACCCCGCCGCAGGCCCCGGCCGCTCTCCCGGGTGCTGATCCGGGCGTGCCGCGCTCACAGGCCTGGGCCGTCGTTGTGCCGCGGGTCGGCAGACCCCGGGTATGGCTAGTTGGCAGAACCGGCGGGAGGTGAGAGGAAGCCGGGAGGGGGTGGCTGTCCCAAGCGACGGGAGGGTGCAGCCTCTGGGATCCAGCCTCCGCCCTGCGCCCACTGCCTCTCGAGGACTGCAGGCTCCAGCTAACTCCTCATTGCCAAAGAACGCCGCTTCTTCCCAGCGCCCTCTCCCGCCTCCTTCCTGCTTGGCTGTTTCCCTCCCACCTTCCCTCCCACCTTGCAGACGGCCCCTCCTCTGTCTCTCTCGCTGCCTCATCCTGTCTTTGCCCCCTCAACATGGGTGCTCCTCACAGGAGCACCAGGCCCTCTTTCTCCTCTTTCTCCACCCTGGCCTCAGGGAGTTTGGAGCCTTCCCCCAGTGCACCATCTCCGAGTGCTCCCGTGCAGGCCAGCCCTCTCCCCAGGGCTCCAAACCTCCAGTACAGATTGCCTCTTGGACATCTGTGGGAACATCCCAGAGGCCCTCACACTCAAATATTCAACATCCAACATATCTTTTGTCCCTAACAAAGGCATCAGCAAACTTCTAATCCTGTCTGGAAACTTCAAAGTCATTTTGCCCCTTTCTTCTCCTGCACTTCCTGTGTAAATCTGTCACCCTCCTCTCCCTCTGTAATCCTCTCTTCTGTCCACTGCTTCCATTCCTCCAGGCCCAGCTTACTTCCCCCTTCTCTGGTCTTTCTCCAGCCCCTCCAGAGCCCTCAACCCCACTATTCCACTCTACCCTGCCTCTGGTACTATCTAGCTCGTCATATAACTCTTCCTTGAAAGCCTTGCATGGCTCCTCAGTCCCTTCAGGATAAGCGCCAAGCTCGTCAGCCTGGTATTTGAAGTCTCTTGTGTTCGCTCTGACTGACCTCTCCATTCTCTGCTCCACACGGATGAGGGTCTAGTCCCTAAGCGCGCATCAGTCCTTTTTTCCTCCTTGACTTGGTACCCTCTGGTTCCCAGGCTCACTTCCCCCTCTTCTTGCTTTTCTCTGCCCATCCCAAATCCTGGCCTAACCTTCTTGGATCAGTTCACACACTCCCTGCCCTCACCCACAGGGGACAGGGTAAACAGGAGGAACCACTGGGTTCTGGGCTGAGCAGCCTTTGGCTGCCTCCCTCTTCCCTGTCATCTGTCTTACCGTTCCACACCCCCTGCTCAGGGTCACCTCATTTCTTCTACTGGATCACACTTCTCTCAAGGACAGGCCAAAGTCCTCTTCACCTCAGCCCCAGTCTGTAGCCTTGGGGCAGCCTCACCAGGTCCGAGTGAGAAATGTTGAGCAAAGTAAGGAGCAAACACCGGTGAGTGCAGAAGTGAGACAGTGCTTGAGAGCTCAGCACAGGACCACACCAGAGCAAGGTCTCAAGAACAGGCTGTAGGTGGATTGGGGGGGGGGGGCAGATTGCCCCACTCTGTGGGAACCACTGCCCCACCCACCCACAAGGGCAGACTGAGGCCATGGAGTATCCCTTGGCCTTCCCAGGGGAAGGCTGGTAATTGGCAGAACATGGATTTCACGGAGGCTCAGCCTGAAAACTCCTGGGTGACTCCCTCTGGCTGGGAGCCAGGATGGGCCCGCATCTGAGTCTTGGCAACTGAAGCCCAGGGGTGAGGGGGGAAGTGGGGAACTCGGCTCCATCTCACAGTGCTTCTCTGCCTCCCACTCAGCCAGGAGGATGCCACCTGTGGCTTCAAGGACAATGGCTGAAGGAGCACCAAGTCCTCACCAAGGGCCTGGCATACTTCCCTGTGTTCCCACACGGAGGACAGACCCCATCACGCCACAGGTGACAAGGCCCTTGTTGACAAAGGAATAAAAAGCCATGCCAGGCTCCAGAACAGCTCTAAGTTGTATGGCTTCTTCAACACCTTGGTAAGGTGGCTCTGGGGACCCAGAACTGAGGGTTGAGGCACTGTGTGGGCCTGCTTCAGGTCCAGGATCAGTCTGAGCTGCCCCATGAAAGAAGGGGTGACCTCACACCGGGGTAGTAAGCTCCCCACTCCTGCTGGGCAGGGGAATGAAGTGGTGGAGCAGATGGCCAATTCAAGAAGGGGAGAGGCAGTCAAATTTCAGTCCCTCAGCCCAGAACCCAGTAACGCTTCCTGTCTCCACTGCCCTGTGGATTTGGTGGGAGGCAGGGGGTGCTGAACTGGCCCACTGAGGATGGAGAGATTTGGGATGGACAAAGAAAAGGAAGAGAGGGAAGTTAGCCTGAGATGGGGCTAGACCAGATGCTTAGAAGGGCCTTCTGCCTAAGGTCAAGGTCATCTCCTTGGATGTCTGTCTGGAATATGGACCAGGCAGCACAAGATGCCAGAGCCAGTGGAATCCAGCCCCTT